TGTGTCATCATTATTAATTTCCACTTGAACGATGTTCTGTCATATTACCTAAAAATAAACTGTTACTTGTAGTTGCCATGTTGATACTATCTTATTAATTATCAATCAATAATATTATTAGAAAATTGTCATGGATGCTAATATCTAGAGTTAATACCTTATTTTGGCCCGAACTATGACCATATAATCAACTTTGGCCAGTGGTTTCAGAAATTAACATCTTGGACTCAACTATGCAGCATATAGACTCAATTGGCCTGACACATAATTTGACCGTCAATTTGGACGGTCAACTCCGTTGACCGTTAGTCAACACGCCATGTCATTGCCTAGTCAGCCTAAAATCATTAAAAAATAATTTATTATCAAATTAACCAAAAATAAATTATAAAAAACATAAAATGAATTTTTTTTATTTTTTTGGATAATTTGAAAATGATAAATTTTATAAATTAACCAAAAATTATCAAATTATTTTATATTTTTAAAACTTCCCAAAAAATATAATTTATATAATACTTTTTAATTTATAAAATTTAATTTGATAATTTTGGTTAATTTATAAAATTTATCATTTTCAAATATCCCCAATAAAATATTTTATATTTTTAGAATTTTATTTTTGGTTAATTGGAAAATGATAAATAATAGAAATTAGAAAAATAATTTGAATTTTTTTAATGATTTTTATGCTAACTAGGAAATGACATGGCATGTTGACTAACGGTCAACAGATTTGACCGTCCAAATTGACGGTCAAACTATGTGTCGGGCCAATTGAGTCTATATACTGCATAGTTGAGGCTAGGATGTTAATTTCTGAAACCACGGGTCAAAGTTGATTATATGGTCATAGTTCGGACCAAAATAAGGTATTAACCCTAATATCTATGTTGTTATCATGAATTGTATTTCGATTAAATTATAACCCGGACGACAATTTTCTTCGATTCATGTCCAATTAACACGAGAAGTTTTTATTATATTGTTGTTTCTGGGTTTTGGTTGGTGAATGCTCAACCAGATAGATTAAGAATGAGTTAACTTACAATCCAACAATACCCTACCAACTCATTAGCAAGTTGGTGAATTAGTTTTAGGGTGAAACTCATTCGACCCCCATTATGTCCATTCTTATTGGATACGGTGGATATGTCATCAGACAGACTAAGATTTAAGAATAACTTCAGGTGGTTTTCATTCGATCCGTCCTTTATATACAAACTTGTTTCAAACCAAAATTTATATTAAGTCGTAGTTAATGGCGGACTCAAGAATTTTATTTAACGGTGTCCGCTTTTAAAAAATATATTCAAAATAGAAAAATTCTTAAATAAAAAATATGACTAGTGCAAGTTACTACAAAATACCGCAACATGTTTTCGTATTATAGAAAAAATTGTAAATACACTCAGTGTCTACAACATTCAACCAATCTCTTTCAATATATCATACTAGTTATGTCATTCAGGAACTGATTGCATATTATTCATTTATGAAGATGGTTCTTAATGTAACCTATAGATGAAAAATCACTTCCAATATATGTAATGATTGTTTTAGTCTTTTCACAAGCCATGACATGAACAATATATCTTTGAATACTTGAGGGGTAAGTTAGAGGTTTCTTGGAGCATTCTTTGAATATTTGGGATTTTTATTTTAAATACCACCCAAAAAAATTCCAAACGTACCACTCTTTTCCACAAACTGCAGGGTGGGGTCCCAGTTTGTACAAGAACTGTTGTGGGTCATTGATTTTTTAATGAATACGAAACATTTTTATTAAATTGTAATTATTTTTAGTCAAAATATTTTTTCCTAGAATTTTAAAATTTTCCAAAATTTGAAACATGACCTGGATGGCGTCATGGCGTCACATCGCAATTTGGAGCTGGCGTAGAGCTTAAGTGTCGTCCATCTAAGTCCGACGTCAACGACGTTACATACACTTAAAATGCTGTTAAAATTCATAACGGAAATGACAATATTTGTCGAATAAACATGTTGATTTTGACTACATTTGTCATTGCGAAAAAAATGACTACAACTATCACAAGGACTAAATGTTTGGCTATACAAATGTGTTTCCCCTATAATCTGTTTAAAAACTACAATAACTATCACAAAAATCAAATGATGGAAACAACAATACTGATATAACCCTAGGTAGGGTTACTTCCAGAGTTCTTAACGCAACCAACAAGGATCAAGGAATCCTTGTATTTGAAGCACAATTCAGACTCAAAAAACGAATCGATCAAACAACTTTCTCGAAGGGAAAGAGGCTCAATGATTTAGGGTAGAGCTCCCACTACTAGTCGTGGTTCACTAGCTAATCGGTGAGCTTGATCTCGAGCTTGGATTGAACCAAACACAATCAACGACAATGTTCAAACGATGAACATGAACTAAAATCAACAAGTTTATAATCCGATTTTTTCTCTAACTATTACATACGAGTTGGAAGCCTTTATATAGGCATGAAATGCTAACTAACTAGGAAGGAATTCCCATTCTAATAAAATAAGAAAAGACAATCTAAACATAATTCAAAACGAACAAGGAAATAAGGTTTCTTCGTGGACAGGCAAGTGTCTTAATCTGCAAGCTTCAATGTGTTAGATACCGTTTTGGAGGTCTTGGAAAATGGTCGAAATCTTCTCGTTGTGCTCAACCAATGCCTTCACATGATAATAGAAGTTTCCTACTTTCGTTCAAAACTCCAAGCTTGCTCATATCATCATCCAGCAAAGAGAACCAATTCAAAGTTGGTGTCTCATCATCATAATCTGTCCCTTCCATACTACTACAAATTCGGCCTCTCTTTCCTGTGTTTGAATATCGACTTTCTTCAAGCTCGTTCTAGAGCTCTGGTTGGAATTTGGAGGAGCTTGATAGCTTCTTGGAAAGCTGGTAACACAATCGAGAATGACATGTCATTTTCAAACCAACTAGAACCCTGAACTCAATATACAAGACCCAGAAGTAGGGTATTGGCCACGGTTTAAGAAACCATCCAAAGACTTGTGATTGGTTTCTGTTTGATACTTCGAGCTCCAAGATGAGACCTAATCAAATACATCGAATTCTTCAATTAATAATTACATATATAGTTCACAATACATCAATTTAATTATCATCAAAATCAAACGAACTCTATTTGTCTAAAATAATCAAACGGACTCTAAATAATAGATACATTCTTGAAATGTATCATTTCACGAATAATTGTTCCAATCAAACCCTGACTATTTTTCATCTCTACCTCTCACCTTGAGATGGAATTATACATTCGCATAATGTTACCTACTTCGTATAAAATGGTAAAGAAGGATAATTAAATACTAACGGGTCGTTTGCTTCAAGGTTTTGTTGATGGATTTGGTGATGGACTTGCATTTATCATGGACCTTGACAAAAGTCTATTGTTTGTTTGATGGAATTGGAGGGAGTAAATCCGTGGGGCCCACGGAGTTTGGAGGTCCAAATCCATGGACCCCACAGACTTGGAAGTTCCACCTATGGAGGTGGGAATTGGGTGATGGATTTAAATCTATGATGGCATTTTACTAGTTTATCCCTACTTATTTTACCTAATGACTAATCTACCCTTCCTTCTTCCCCAGTGGCGGCCTCCAACTCTCCGTTCTCAGTTTTTCATATAGAGCAATGAATGATAAAGGGACTCTCATGTTTGTTTCTCCTTGTCTCTTTCTTTTTTTTGGGCTTGTTTAACATTAATTTCTCGCATTAATTGTGAATTTCGGGATGAAATTTTGGATTAAACGTGGTGATCGAGTTTGATCAAAAAATTGAGAAATTTTCAATTGTGGTTGAATTTCACATCTTCATCTACTGAGTCTTCTATTTACTCCTCTATTGATATTCCTAACACTTTACGCTCATCTTGTGCATTATTGCTGGATCGACAGTTGGATCCAAAAATTAGGGAGTTGTGTCTTGTCCAAACTATTATGCATTTCTATATTTGTAATTGAACGAGTTCACAAAGTAGAAGTTCAGTTACTTTGTATGCATTAGATTTGTTTTTAATGGAAATATAATTATATAAGGGTAACAAGGTAATTTGTGTTTCATATCCACAAATCTAATCAAATAAAATCCAACAAGCAAACAATAGACTTGTTCAAATCCATGATGCCACCAAATCCATCATATATCTATGGTTTTTCAAAACCCAAGTTTTGCCAAAACCCAAGTTTACCAAAACTCTCATATTTCAAATCCATGAAGCAAACGACCCGTAAATGAAGTGTGGAAACATATGGCTATGAGAACGATCACTAGAAAATGAGGGGATGTGAAGGGACAAAGTGGTAAAGAAAGAAAGAAAGAAATTAATTCATGGACAATGGGGCGTGCATTCTCTGCAAGTGAACTTCCCAACTTTGCTTTTGTAGAAGTTGAAACTGTCACATCTGCCGGCAGAAAGTGCGATTGGCAATTTGCATTGATAGTAGCAAAAGTGAATGCACCGCAGCCCCACCCACAGGAAATGAATCAATCGGCCGGCAAGGCTTTGGCTGAGATGCCGGCCGGCTCCGGCTCCGGCTAGCTGTTGAAGGAACTGCGAAAGTTGAATTTTTCGACAAGTTTATTGATTGTGTTGAGTTGGGTGTCAACTGGACGTACCTGGTGGTGGCCTGACATGTCGAGATATCACAACTGGACGTACCTTGGGGTGTAAAATTTGCTATGAATTTGAATGATTTTGATGACCACTCTTTTATATTTTGTAAGGGTTAATAGCATGGTTGGTCACTGAGATTACAAAAAACGTTCACGTTTGGCCACTGGAAATATTTAAATCCAATCTTGATATGTAATTGACCCAAAGGAAAAGGAGAAAGGAATCACAAAAAGACTGGGAAAAGGGGAGAGAGAGGGGAGAAAGTGACAGGCGGGCGGTTAACATAAATAGCATGCCCATATAGGAATTGTAAAATGATGATCCCCACCACCCACACTCTCTTCTTCTCCTCCGCCTTCTCTCTTTCTTCTTCTTCTTCTTCGCTGATGAAAGAAGAGGATCGAGCTTAGCTCTAGTAGCTGGCTACCGCTACAGTAAGAAAATAGGGGGTTTTGGCAGAGATTGCAGTCTACCCTCTTTCTCCCGTCTTCCACTCTGCTCTCCTTATTCTTCTCCAACTAAACCCTTCTTCCTCCCTCCCAGCCGCTGAAAAAACCATCTTCAGATATTTTCTCTCTCCCTGTCCCCTTCCGCCTTTGTTATTCCCTTTCCCGACTCCTCCTCTCTCTCTCCGCCCATGTCCTTTTCTCCATTAACCCAGACCCAGTCTGTCTAAAAATGCTCCATCATTCCTAATCTCACTTCCTCATCACTTCCTCGGGATTTGCGCTCCTTCAGGACAGGTATCGTCTCGCTCTTCTTCTTCTTCTTCCTCCGTAGCTGGACGAGGAGAAATGGCGGAAGGAGACGACGAAGCTCGCTCTCGATCTAATGTACGTTGGTTGGGTCTGCTTGCTTATGATGGACCGTTTTTTAGAATTTGTTTTTGTTTGAGAGAACAAGAAAAACAGTTGCGTGATTAGGAGATCGAAGTCAAGATTCTTTTCTCTTGATTACTTTTTTTCATCGCTTTTTATTCGTTGGGGTCGCCCCCAATATTTTTTCTTTTGTTAGTTTCTTTTGGCAGTATCCGATATGTAGGTTAGCGAGAGAGAGAGAGCCATAGCTTGGCAAAACTCTCTCTGTTGCCTGCTAACAATGCCGCGGGGACGACGACGAGTTATTAGTATTAGATCGACCGTTTCATTTTCATTTGGGTTTTATCTTTTAGAGATTTCCGTCTCTGGCCGTTTTCGTTCTGTTTGAATTAGTCTCTATGCAGCAAAAGGGGTTGATTGATTGATTCTTTTGAGGCGGTCTCGTCGGCGTTTAGTACACTAACGTTTCTGCAAATCTTTATTTGGGCGGCGTGCTTAGGTTGCGTTTTTGCCTCGGCCAGCTTTGCTGCAAATCTAGCCTTTTTTGTCGACTTGTGAATGGTTCTGTCAGAGGGGAGTTGATTTTTCTAAACGGGGTTTTATTGTCGCTACTGAAGATTACAAGTTGGTTTGATGTATGAAATGAAGTGATTCTCCTCGCCTACTTTTCAGCATTGCAGTTGCTGAACTGGGTTCTGTAGCAGACTTCATTCTCATTGAATTATTGGTTCATGTAATTTCCCAGTTTCAGTGATGTGTTGGTTGATTTTGCTTTCGATGGTGTTTTTAATGAACGCTTGTCTTATTGACAAAAGTTTGATTGCAAACTTTGCGCAGGATAGGTAATAGAACACATTCTGCAAATGTGGAGGCTGGGAGTAGCTATATTGTTGCTGATCAGTGATCATAACTGACGTTGATATTTTCGGGTAACTTGTGAAATGCTGATGCCAGAAGATATCGATCTGAATTCGGTGCAAAGGCACGCAGACCCGCTTAAAGTACTTGTTCAGCAGGCAATTCTCAGACGGGAGGCTATGTACAACCCACAGGTATCATTTCCTATTCCAGATGATCCCTATCTTGGTTATTGTCAGCCATGTTAGATACTAGCTTCCTCATGAGCCATGATTCTTGGTGCGGGAACCTTTCCATGTGCAAGTTAATGCTTCACAATGGTTCACTTTGCTGAAATGAAATAGCTACCAATTCTGTCAGCAAAAAGTGTCACAATCTTTGCTTCACTATTTGATATTCTGCTCTTCACTTGTTCACATATTGTTCTCTCTTGCTTTCTATCATCTTGTTAGATCCTTGGAGAATCCCACCGTCAATCAAAAGCACGTAGATCACTCACGGTGGATGTAGTTAACGAGTGTGATAGTAGCTACAATTCAAGGAACGTGAAAGCACGATCATGTTTCCTGCCTCTCAAAGATGCCATGAGATATGAATTGCTTGCTAAAGAAGCAAGGTTTTCATCAGTAATCGAGGTAACTTCCCAGCATGTCATGTCTTTGAGCTTGGAGTTGATATATGCCATGGAAAGTAATCTAGTATAGCAACTGATATGGAAATATTGGTGGACACATTGCTCTATTAGTTCTTGGCTATGTAGACATGGTTAATGGCATGTGGTACTCTGTTGTAAGTTGAAGCACAAAGATTTATTATAGTGGTCCTAGTTTAGAATGTGAACATTTTTTCTTTCAGGTACGGTCTACACATGCACTAAAGCAGGACATATTAGATGAATCTAGGCAGAAGTCAGTAAACCTCCAACTTTCTGCTGATGAATTCATACATCAGTCAGGAGAGGACCTTCAAGCAAAAGGAAACATTTGGAATCTCTTGAAAGAACCTGCCGAATTCAAGCATCGTCCTACCGATATATATTCTTTTATGAATGAGGAGTTGAAGCTTTCTCTTGGTACCAGACGACGCCCTAGACTGTCTGCATCAAGCACTAGGTTTGAAAAGAATGGGTATCTGTACAACAATCCAATTGTGATTGATTTGGAAGATTCAGATGAGAAGACGCAATATGATTATGCAAGAAGCACTAGAATGCCTGATGCACGTGGTATGGCAACCACTTGCTTTGATAAAAATAAGCATCAGAATAATGATATGGTGATAAATTTGGAAGACTCTGTGCAAGACAATAATGTAAGACGCCCTAGAATGCCTGATGTAAATGGTGTGCCAAGCACTTGGTTTGGTAAGAACTGGCGTCCGAACAATAAAATTGTTATTGATTTAGAAGTTTCACTTGACAAGGCACAAGATAGCTTTGCGAGATGCACGCCTTTCAGCTCTGTCTGCCCTCAGTCAGCTTCCAGGGAGGAATTGATAGTCTCAAAAATTGAGGGGAAGAGAGGAATGTATTGTGAACGAGATCCCCATGACAAATCTGGCAATGGTCATTCCTCTGGGAGCCAATTGTTTCTGGACCTTAATGAAGTTTACCACAGTGATTCTTCTTACTCTGCTGGTGCATGCACTGGACTGCTTGGTAGTGTGGAAGAAGGAATCCGTCCGGTTGGGGCAGGCGAAAAACAAGTCATCTGCAGGTCAAATGAAACATCTGGTGGCATGCTTAGACCAGATAATAATGTAGCAAAGCCTACTCCTTTGGACCTCAACATAAAATGTGAGAGCACAGGGTGCAAGCTGGAAAGCAGTTGTGATGATGGTAGAATTGGTAGTTTTAAGTCCCAGGTAGAATCTTTTGAAGATGCTGGCAGCATCGCCGATGCCAAAACTAACCTTGTTAAGCTGAAGTCAAATAATCTGCTACTACAGGATTTGAACCATATGCCTATTAGGGAGGGAGGAGAAATGAGTTGTGGTACAAGTGGAGTAGATGATCCTGCTTCTTCTTTGTGGACTGATGAGAGCCAAAATGCATTACCTGGCAACAAGTCGCCCAATTCATGCAAGTCCTGCATTTCTGACAATGAGTCGGGGAGCATTAAGAGAACAAATTCCATAACTGGGTCAAACATTAACTGTCCTGCAAGGGCAGTGCTGTCTGTTAGCGACGGAGAAAATGAAGGTCTCCTCAACAAGCAAGAAGAACAACCAGCTAGAGTGGATGATGCCATGATGAGGAGAGCAGCTGTTTCACTGATCTGTTTGGCCCTGGATGACAATGCAGTTTGTTTTGAAGATTCTAAGCCGCAGTATTCTATTGACTCTTACGAGTTGATTGCTATGAATCTGGCAGAAAATGTGGATGATGAAGATTCTGCATCGTCATCAAAGCCATTTGAAGTGGACTTTGGTAAGGCGAAGGATCTCGGCTCTAAGTGGAAAAGAGGGAGGAGATTGAAGGATTTTCAGAAGGAAATACTACCTGGGATCGCAACTCTTTCTAGGCTCGAAATCCGCGAGGATATAAACATCTTGGAAGGGGTTCTAAGATCGAGGGAGTACAAGAGAATGCAGCAGGCCAAGGGTGGAGGTGCTCAGCACGAGGAGAACTGGTCGGGTTTGGCTAGGGGCAAACGGTCTAGAAGGAACTGTACTGGAAGGAGGAAATCCTCATGAAAGAAGTCTGGGGGACATATATTCTTTGATCTCTCCTAATGACTACTGCTATAGATATCAGAATTTAGGGTAGGTCTTGATATCTTCACTAGGTTTTGATATTGCGTTGGTACGGTACCCTCTGCAACAGTTGCCGTTAAGGCTTAAACTGCATAGTCTAACTCAGGTTGTTCTCTACAAGCATCAAGGATATACATAACGATGGTCGTATTGGCTTGGAATGATTCCTTGTAATCGATATAAATGGTTAGATGCTTTGTTTGATATCATCATAATACTGAGTTTGGTGACATGTTGAATTTTGGTATGATGTAAAGCAGTGTTGTCTGAGTTCCCTTGGAAAAAAGATGAAGAAAAAGGAAAGAAAGACTAGTGGTGGAGAGAATGTTGTCTAAACACAAGGAAATGATAGAGTAGAGTTGGCCCATGTTGATGGGGGCGGCTTGTTTCTTTCCCAAGTTACCTTTGTCTGTGCTTGTTTGTTTCTGTCTTGGTTTTAGTGTGAAAAAAGTATATATTACATGTCGGATCTCAAATTACTAAAATGAATTTATGTATGCTATGCTATATTATTTGTAATTTTGTATTCACCAAAAATGAGGTTTATATTAACGATTGTTAGGGTAGTCATTCTTTGATGGCAGAGGCTACAATAATAACATATATTATTATTAGAGACTGTAAATACTCATAAAATAAAATAAAATTAGAGACTGTAAATACACGATTATTTCTGGTCTTCTGCAACGACCAAATTATGAAGCCAAATCCCAAACCGGCATGTGGTGACTGGTGAATGTTTTCAAAATCATGGGCTCATGGGCTTCTTTCCTCATGGGCCTAACCTCTTGCTTATATAGAACACGAATCTCTTCTTCTTCTTCTTCTCGAAGCATTACCATTTACCAGCAAATATGAATGTGTTGAGCACTTCTAATTTCTAAGTCCAAACATTTTTTTCATGTAGGAAACGGTAAAAAGAGCTTTTTATAGCTTAAATCAGTATTAGAAGGAGCCATTCAGTATTAGAAGGATCTTAAAAATTTCTTCCAAACAACTCCAATTAATTACCATTTACCACCACACCTGGAATGGAAAGAAACCCTCCATTTCTTTCTTGTGGGAAATCAGAAATCACCTTTGTTTATTAGTATTGAGCTGCTTGGGTTTTGCCTCTTTGTAGTGGATCCAGGTCCAGTCCAGGTCCAGCCCATCCATCAGCCCCAGGGGGTGCATTGCAAGGCAACATCATTGAGTTTACTAACCAGTTTCATCTTTTCTTTTCCTTGTCTCCACAATTTGATCAAGACACGTCACTAAATATTCGGTTCTAAGATCTATAGTATTCAGGTAAACTAGCTCATTGCCGGCACTTGGGCCGGACGTAGTTTCGGAAATTGACTCTTTGATTGTAACTGATGTTATTTGTTAACATGTATGCAGCGATGGCCGGAGGTAGGTCAACAATACCACAATAATATGATGGAAAGTCATTATCTATTGCATTATAAAAGAAACAGTAAAACATAAACACTATAATGAACAATCCAAACCAAGCCATTAGACATTAGTCTTCAATATAGCCACTATTGCCATGCACCATGATGCCCCTAGAGTGAACATGAAAAAACCAAAGGAATGCTTACCTGAATCCAACTATCGATGGTAAAAATGGAAGTCACCAAGAGATTTCATAAGAAAAATCCAATATAGATTTCCCTTAAACCAAAAACCACACTGATACAAAAGGCGATGAATCTCTGGCTGAGAAAACAAAAACCAGCAATGTCCAAATCAACTCGATGGAATGTGTCGGTCAGTTTTTTCTGATAAATAGTTTTGTTAATTAAAATGACAGAAAAGAAAAGAAATACAAAGCATGCAATCTGCTTTAGAAATTTCATATACAAACAAAAGAAACAGACAAGCAATATATGCCTGGAAGCACCAACAGATAATAACTTCTGTCAATATACCTCCCCATCATTACGATTCTTATCCTTCTCGATAGCAAACACAGTGATTGGCCCCCTCTTACTCCTTTTTCGTGGAAGCTACATGACATTTTGCATCATTGCACATTAATTCAAACAACCATTCCTTGCTGCATTTATGGCTTGAGGTAATATCACTTCAGTCATAATACAAATTTACATGAAATGAAAGAAATTATCATTATAATAGTCTTGTAAAATTTAGAGTTCCAATGACGATTCCTCTCTTCTCCTCGGTGGCTTCGGCAATAAAATGAGATTGATGACTATTTCTACCAACGTATTTTATACGATCATTGTATGACCTTTTGTATAAACCATTTCTGTCTCACCCATTTTCGCATCACAACTCCAAGAGCTAACTTGTTGGGGGTTCTCTTCTAGGTAAACAACTTGTATCAACATCATGCATGAAAACAAAAATTGCGTTGGTTGAGATACTATCAGGATCTTGTGATGCGCTGAAGAAGGCTAAACCTTTTCCCAGGCATTGTCAACTCCCAATCAATTTGATGTGAGTCATTGCTCTCTTACCATCTAAATTAAATAGGAAGCTCAGGTTGGCCTCTTTTATAGCTTCACTTGACAATTTCTTAGAGGAGATAAAATCACAATTCACAATTCTAGAACAACCACCTCAGATAATACAATCTTATGGAAATAACACTAATGAAGCACCCAAATTACAATTCCGTACATGTTTCTTATGAGGGTGTGCATGTGCAAATTAAGAAAAATATAAAGATTAAGGAGAGAGCTTACTTGGCAACCGGCTTTGAGGAGCAAAAATCCCGTCAATAAATTCCAGGTGGAGATGTCCAATCGATCGGGTCTAGACATGCATATATATCAACATGCTATACTAAAAACACAAAGAGATCGGTTTGTCCTTCCCATGACAACATATTCTCACCATGTATTTATTCCTTGCAGAGAGATTGATATCAAACCATCTTGTATCTGCTCCAATTATGGGTATCACTCGTATTTTTTATATTGTAGTAATTAGAACCCCACTTTTAAATCTAGAAGCAAGTGACACTGTCACAAAACATCATATTGTAAAAACTTATCTGCAATCATGAGGTTATTACACTCAAAAGAAACCATGTTTTATATGTTGAAGATTAGCATTATAGCTTGAATAGTTTAATTTGGAAATGATCTCAACTCTTACATATAAATTTTGTATAAAAGTGGTATGATTGAAACTATTCCCTATGTTAACACTAATCAGAATAGTCATTGTTTACTGAAAACTAACCACAAAAACATTTCAAATCGGAAAATGATGATACTAAACAAGAGTATCATAACAAAAGCAACCAAAAGTATAGCTATTTATCTTTAATCATCTCAAAAGTCAACCTAGAAGATCAACCAAATGAACTGATGTTAAGAGATCACACATTACTCTCAAAGAAACTAAATAACCCATCGGTCAACTCTCCAAGCAAGAAGACTCAACCTTTCGATATTTACCCCTCCGAAAATTGCTTTGCATAACAGTATAGGTGGAGGAGGTTAGGCGGTTGTCGAGTCTGATGGAAAGGTTTGGAGAGACGACAATGGTTGAGCGTTTAGTAGGCCGGTAGCCCGGGACACTGTTTATCTTTAATCAACTGAAAAGTCAACCTAGAAGATCAACCAAATGAACTGATGTTAAGAGATCACACATTACTGTCAAAGAAACTAAACAATCCACCAGTCAGCTCTCCAAGAACACTCAAACTTTCCTTATTTACCCCTCCGAAAATTGCTTTGCTTTGCTTAACAATATAGGTTGAGGAGGTCAGGCAGTTGTCGAGTCCGGTGGGAAGGTTTGGAGAGACGGCGATGGTTGAGCATTTAGTAGGTCGGGACACCATTTAGACCCATTTACATTAGTTGCATCTTTTCAATCCGCATTCGACAAACCAACATCACTCAACCTTTCCATATTTACCCCTCTTTTAAAGACACATGTGCCCCATATTCAATCAAAACTTTTATGCTAAAAAATATTGTTGCTTAATGGTAGTTACATTATTTAAGTCTATGTCAAGATTTTTGCATTGCTTCTACACATTCAATATTGCAATTCGATGTGCAATATTTGCACCAATGACATTAGGCTTGCGATTTTAAAATTATTCTCTTTTTATAAGATAAATAGAAATAAAAATAATTATTAAATTGGAATTAAAATAATCAAATTATGAAAATAGAATTATCAAATACCAAAAATATATTTAGGGTAGAGTTAGTGGCTTAGCTAACTATGATGAAAAATTCTTATGATTTTTCAGATTTATACTGTCTGTATGTTTTTAATTTAAAAAGTTTAAACAAATTTGTTTAGTGTAACTGATTATGTTTCTTGTCTTTTCTCAAAGAGATCACGATTCAAATCCCATCACCAATGTATTTTTCATGTAAATAAGAAAATAATAATTGACTGTGAATACGAATCTACCCTTCCTAATTTTGCTATGGATGCAATGATTTTCTAATGGGGGAAACACCTTTCCCATTTCATTATTATATTAGGTTTAGCGAAAGTAACCCGGGTGGTTGAGCTTTTAGTGGGCCGAATACTATTTGGGCCCGTTTATATTAGTAGCGTCTTTCCCATCCGCGTTGGGCAAACCAACAACACTCAATCTTTCCATATTTAAACCAACAACACTCAATCTTTCCATATTTACCCATCTAAATTGCTCTAGCGTAACAATAGAGGCAAATGAGGTTAGTCGGCTGTTGAGTCTGATGGAAAGTTTGGAGAGACGACGATGGTTGAGCGTTTAGTGGGTCGGGCACTAATTGGGCTCGTTTACATTAGTAGTGTCTTTTCCATCCGCGATCGGCAAACCAACATCACTTAACCTTTCCATATTTACCCCTCTCTTAAAGACACATGTGCCCCATATTCACTCAAAAGTTCTGTGTTTAAAAATATTGTTACTTTATGGAAGTTATAACAATTAAGTTTATGTTAAGAATTCTACATCGCTTCTAGACATTCAAGAGTGCAATTCGGTATGCAATATTTGAATCAATGACATTTCGGTTTCTAACCATGGTGGAAAAGTCCTATGATTTTTTAGATTTAAGCTTCCTATATGTTTTTAATTGGAAAAGGTCACACAAATGTGTTTATTGTAACTGGTTATGTTTCTTATCTTTGTTCGAAGAGACCACTGTTCAAATCTCATTACTGATGTATTTTTTTTTGTAAATAAGAAGTTAATAAATAACTGTGAAGACGAATCTACCCTTCCTACTTTCACTCTGGATGCAGAAAATTTGAAATGGGACTTCAAATTTTCTCATTTGGCTTTTATTTATTGTGTAGATTTAGCATTACCACCCTTAGGAAAAAAACCATGATATCTAATTATCTCAAATTAATGGGAGTGTGATACTATATATGATAATTGTTAATGAGTGAATTATAGGTTCTAATTCTCATAACTTTTAATGAGTGAACTCTAGGTTCTAATTATCTAAATTATAAACCCTAAATCCTGTGATGGTACTTGAACTTTACTACATGTATTTCGATGAATCATAATTTTTTATTGTTTTTCTAAGTAATTTATCTTAGTGTATAAGATTTAGAGTATTA